AGAGCCCAACACGGAGCTCCATCCCATGGACCGTGAGATCATGACCTGAGCCGAAGTTGGACACTTAACCAACTGAGCCCCCCCAGGCTCCTGGAAGGATATCCATTGTAGGTGATTATCAATAATCATTTGCACACAGGCATTCACATGGACACAGTCTTCTCCGCTGCCTGCATAATCTCTTTCTCTAAAATTCCGATGACTCTTGGGGCACCTGGGTGGCGCAGTCGGTTAAGCGTCCGACTTCAGCCAGGTCACGATCTCGTGGTCCGTGAGTTCGAGCCCCGTGTCAGGCTCTGGGCTGATGGCTCAGAGCCTGGAGCCTGTTTCCGATTCTGTGTCTCCCTCTCTCTCTGACCCTCCCCCGTTCATGCTCTGTCTCTCTCTGTCCCAAAAATAAATAAACGTTGAAAAAAAAAATTAAAAAAAAAAATTCCGATGACTCTCTCAACCAAGACTTCCATGTCTCCAAACACTTTCTGGAATCCTTAATCTTCTCTTCGCTTCTTTGTGTTTCATTCCAGATATCCCCTGATTTATCTCCCACTTCCCCAGGTTGTTTTTTTTTTTCCCTTCTCCCAAATGACTGTGTCTAATTAACTTTAAACCCATTCCTCTGTTGTACTTAATTTTATGACTATTTCTCAATTTCAGAATTTCCATTTGACACGTTTTTATAGTTTCCCATTGTTTCTGCTGATTCCTTCTTTTATCTCCTTGGGCAGAGTGTAAACATACTTATTTTAAAGTATGTGCGTTTGAACTCCAATCTTTCGGGACCTCATGGATGTAACAGCAATCGACGGATATTTCTGCTTGTTCATTTTTCATCTTGCTTTCTGTCCTCATGTGCTCGTTTTTTTTTGACTATGTGTTGAATTATTTGAAAAATGGTCTGTTAGAGCAGTTTGAAGCCTCAGATGCTGTAATTGTCCTTTGGGACACACACACACACACACACACACACTCTGCCTCCCAGGCGCCGGTGGGCCCTGTCAGTCTGGGAGGACCTCCGTCCAACATCAGGGATCGAAATGATCCATAACTGTGCTGTGGCTTCTAGTTGGGTCCACCTGACCTTTGGACACTTCAAGGCTCCAGCCCATGGCCTTGGCAGGCCCTGGACTTAGTCTCCCCACAATCCTTGGAGGCAGTCAGAAGTCCCTCCCGGCCTCTGAGTTGCCTTCTGGGGACGAGGAAAGTGCCCTGGACGTCCCTCAGAGAAAAGCCTAGAATGTCAGCCTCCTTGCTTGGCCTCTATACATTCCATACCGCCTTCCTCAGTGTCTTCCCAGGATCTCACTGGCTTAATAGTTTCCTAGTGCCTTTAATCAGATTAAACAACAAAGAAAGTTTTGGCCAGCTTTTCTGCATGTTCTCAGGAAAAGATTGGTCTGAATCTTCCCAAGATCCAAGTGGCTTTGTCTAAGCCACTATTTTGGATACACACAGTCTAGCCAAGTTCTAGATGATGCATTCATTGATACACTCCAATTAAATGCTTAAGGCCTGTTTGGTGTTTACCATGACTTCAATATTATTTCCCTTCACACCATTCAGAGATGAGAAGAAAAAGGTATTTTTTTTTTTAATTAAAACTATTGTTGGGGCGCCTGGGTGGCGCAGTCGGTTAAGCGTCCGACTTCATCCAGGTCACGATCTCGCGGTCCGTGAGTTCGAGCCCCGCGTCGGGCTCTGGGCTGATGGCTCGGAGCCCGGAGCCTGTTTCCGATTCTGTGTCTCCCTCTCTCTCTGCCCCTCCCCCATTCATGCTCTGTCTCTCTCTGTCCCCAAAATAAATAAACGTTGAAAAAAAAAATTAAAAAAAAAAAAAAAAAACTATTGTTAAAGCACCTATCTCCTCCTTTGGTCCTGTATAAGCTCATTTCATATTGGTTCCCACATATGAGATACTCTGTAACAATCTCTGAAAAGTCAACTAACACCAAATGCAACTGTAATTCTTTAACCTAACCAATAAAATGCCACAATACACCCTACAGTAAAGTTTATGATCTATGTTCCAGGTTTTAAGCCTACTTCATCTTTATGTCTCAAATCCATTCTCCCTAGAAAGTTGATAGAGCTTAATACTTTCATCTATTTACTTCCGAGTTTAAAAAGCACTTACCATTTGAAACAGAATTCCCATTTTCAGCCGTGATAGCACTTGAGAGTGAATTAGATAATTGAATTCCATGGTTATTTGCATTTCTGTCTTGAGTCTCGGAGACGATTTCTGCCCTACCAGGATCATCTCGGCCAGTTAGGTTCATGTTAGGCTCAAAACCTAAAACAAATTTCGGAAAGGATTACTCTGTACTGATAAGATGGACCGAATAATTTAATAAAATTGTAGAAGAAAATAATAAAACTTACCAAATGAAACCTTAATTGTATGGTAAATTCATAATCACCGTTAATTAACTTTACGGCCTACAAAATATTCGCCGAATTTTGCCACAACACTCTAACACATCATAAGAAATATTAAGTGGTGATAATGAATTTCATGATTTGTTATTTTCAAGCATATCTATACACAAAGTTTGACGTCGTAGTCTAATAACCTGTCACTGTAGCCCTGTGTGTCTTGAGAGCACTATTTCCTAAAAGAAGCATGGAAATAAATTCAGAAGTTTTCTCAATTATTAAATTAAGCAGAGCTGAGCCAACCCTCTAGATTGCAAAAAATCACAAATATATTTTTGGCATCATTACAAAATTAGTTATTATCCATTTAGGAAGATTAAACTTTACAACCCCACTTCTGGATTCTGTACACTAACCACATTACCTAATTGTTCACTGTCCGTCCCCTATCGGGGGCTTGGAGATCTCTGAACATGGAAACTGTTGTCCATATTAGGCCAAAGAGCCAAATGAAGATTTTATTTTTTTTAATTATGTAGGAATAATAAAGTAAAACACAGCAAGTGCCATAGACCAGAGCATGTCAAGCAAGCACAACTGTCCATCACGGGGTCAGGTGTGGCCCTCGCCACCTCCCATTCCCCCAATCGGGACCCCTCTGTTGGACTGGCCAGTGAGCCGTGATTGGCTCTTGCTTCCCCAGGGACCTCAAAAAGCTCCAACGTACTGGGGGATTTTTGTTCACCCCAGAATAAGCATGCTGCTTCTGATCTTTGTGTGCTGGGACACAGTGGATTGTGACTGCTGTTAGGTTGGCCTTTCTCAAGTTTTAAGCTAACAAATTATTCTAAAGGGATAAAAAGCATAATTCGCTTTATTATACTTTACATGTGGCAGAAGAGTTCATCTCCAGTGATCCCAAAGGAGGGAGGGAGGAAGGGAAGAAGGGGGAAGGTTGGATGGAAGAAGGAAGGATGGGGGGAGGGAGAAAAGGAAGGAGGGAGAAGGATGGAAGGAGGGAGGGAAAGAAAAAGGGAGAAGGCCAGCAGCCCAGAGCTGTGCCTCCAGGCTGCACCTGCCATGACCCTTTTTAACTCTTCCCTCTAGACATGATCTCCCCTTGCCCTTGACCTTACATTCAAGGGGCGCTGCATATCCAGGCATATCCAGAGCTCCTTACTGACCCGTGTTTCTGTGCTTTGCTGTATGCACTCCCCGGACCTAGAGCACCCCGTCCTCACCAGCCCTGCCTCTTCCTGCCCACCAGTGGGACTCCTGGTCAGAGCACCCACAGTGGCCTGGCATCTACAAGTGGAGTCTGGCCCAAAAGCACAGAGAGGAGCTAGGTCTGCCCAGATGGGAAGGAGTTTTTAGGTAGCAAATGCTGGATGAAGGCAAAATGGACAGAGCTTTGAAAACCGTGCAGGGGAGTTGAGATTCCAGGGACCGAGGGAGCCACTGCAGCTCCTGACAGGTCGCATTTAGGAACCAGGCAGAAAGGCTTTAGCCCAGCCAGTGTGCATAAGAACAGTGGTGAACGTGAGATCCGGGGGTCAGAACTATGTGAGGTCGTGACAATGAGCAGTTATCGAACAGGCTGGCACTAAATGAGTATCTATTTCATTCGGTTGACCGTAGTTTGCCATTTAAAAAAATCTGAAAGTCAGTAAAACTGGTTTGGATTTAAAGCCATCTCCAGGGTGCCTGGGTGGCTCAGTCAGTTGAGCATCTGACTTCGGCTCAGGTCACGATCTTGTGGACTGAGGTCGAGCCCCGCGTCGGGCTCTGTGCTGACAGCTCGGAGCCTGGAGCCTGCTTTGGATTCTGTGTCTCCCTCTCTCTCTCTGCCCCTCCCCTGCTTGAGCTCTGTCTCTCAAAAATAAATAAAAGTTAAAAAAAATTTTAAAGCCATCTCAAGACATATTTATCTGCCTCTCTTCAAGCTATTTTTTTTTCATTCTTTAATTCACTTGCCTGCTGAATGCCTACTAGGTGACACTCTTCAGATGCTCCAGATGCGATTATGATGCTCACCTCCCAGTAGGACAACCAAGAAGTAAACAAACGAGCGGATCATTAAAAGTGGCAGCCTCCAGGCTAGGTACAAAGCTGAAGGGCAGCGGGGGTGAGAGTCACCGTGTCAGGCAGTTTGGTCAGGGAAGCATATTTAGGGGGTCGCACTGGGGCTCAGAGAAGGAGGGAAAAAAGTGACTGTGGAGAAAGACGATGTCCCACGCGCATGAACACGTAAGGCAGGAACCAGGGTGTAGGGTCCTAATGGGTTGGGCATGTGAAAGGAAGGGGCAGGTGGGACCGGGGACAGGCATATGGCCCGGGGCCTGGGAGGCCACCGCAGGAAGGAGCTTACGAAGGGTGTGAGCCAGAAAGCCCCTCACTGGGTAACTCGGGACAGTCCCCTTCCACCTGGCGGGACAAAACTCAACCCTCCAAGATACTGCTTACACTCTTGGTACCAACGCTCAATGCTAGTTTCCCTCATAACTGATTCCCAGCTCGTAAATAACCCACGTATTTGTAGTCAACACCTCCCATTTTGCCATGAGTGTTTTAAACATATTTCCAGTCAGGTTAAACTGTAGCCAAGGACTGATTTTAAATTTGTCCTACACGTGAGGCTGGGATCCTTACACGGCCTACTAAAATTTTCTTTATAGTTTTACCTTAAAAGCATATGTCTACCCAAGGATGGCTTTGGACTGGAAAGAGGATTTAAGTCCTTCTTCATGTAAAAGGCAAGCACTCACGGCCAATCTGATGGTGATCATTCACTTTGCTCTGACAAAAATTACCATGGCCTGGGGGTTTATGCTGGGCCACCGCTCTGCTAGAGGTGACATCTGGTTTTTCTGATTCTGAGCAGCTGTCTCTTCCACGCCCGTTTTCGAGATGAGCTCACTGAGGTTTGGGGAGGTTACCCACACGCAAACCTTTCTCAATTAGTAGGTGTTGCAGCCGGGTTCAGACCGGGGCGGGCCGGCTCCGCCGTCCACCCACATTCACTCCTCCGCTTGGCCCTTCTATGCAAAGTCTTCCATCATTTCATTTGCTGATCGAAAGGATAAGGCAGCTGTTTTCCTGTGGCTTTATGGGATCACCGTGCCTCGGTGGTAATGAACTGAGAACCGTAGGGTAAGCATTAGATTCCAGCCACTGAAAGAGTTGCAACATCGATATAGACGTCTCCACTTTGGCGTTATCCAATATTCATTAATATTAATTGCGGGGATGGTTCTTGGCTTACTAAATTCTGTGTCAGCCTCTGCTCATAAACACCTTTGCTCCAAGTTAAATCCAAACACGCAAAGACGTCTGTGCCCCAACTTGTTAATGCCTGATTCAACTACAGTGAGGGTCAAACACAGAAACGCTCAACACTTTGATTTTGCTGTAAAGGGGCAGTTCGGTACACGAGTGGTTACAACACTCCTCGTGAAGAGTGTGCCTGGACCCTGCACTTAGGCAGTGAAGGAACTCCAGCAGCGAAAAATCAAGAGGACAGCGGCATGAAGCCTGGAGAAGCCTTACTTATAATTGTGCAAATACGAGTGCATCCTTTAGGGAGAATTCTAAGAGGAATCACCCAGAGCAAACCAAGCCGCGAAGCCTGTTCACGCCTCCAAGCGGTGGCCGCTGGGGTTTTGAGGGTGAAGAAAAGGCGGTCACAGTCACAGCAAAAGAAAATATCTGAGACTCTCAGGAAATCTAAGCAAACAAATACAGGCGTGTGTGCTGTAAAATCCTGTATAACGATTCGAGGTATGTCTGAATCACTTTTGTATCTGCGCGTGTTGTGTAATCAGTGGCTTATGCAATTCAGTGGCACCTCTGGTTGGCTGCTTCACCACACGAGTTAATTCGAATACCTGTGCTGTTTTCTCCCAGCCTGTAAACAGGACTGCTCTGTGACCCCTGCCTGGTGCTGTTGTTACAGGTACGGGAGAAATGAATCACCCTGGGATCTGACTCAAAGATAAAGCCTTGGCCTTTCCACTGGGATACGATTGTTAAACACAAGCATGCAACGTGGACACAGTTGAGTTGAATCTTAATCTAGGGGGAGAGTTCTAGCAAATCTCAGAAAACAGGAATTCAGTTTTGCTGTGTTCGTTTTTATGTAACGAAAATATCACACCGGGTGGGTGGGATCCTTTGAACACTGGGTTTCAAGAGAAGGTGATATTGCCCACCAGGAGACACGTGGCAGTGTCTGGAGACGTTTCTAGTCCTCACACTGGAGGAGGGGGTGGCTGCTGCTATCTAGTGGGTAGAGGTCAGCGATGCTGCAACGCCTCCAGCAATGCACAGCCAGCCAGCCCACCCCCGCGGTGAGGAATGGTCCTGCCCAGGATGTCCGTGGGGCTGAGGCTGAGAAGCCTAGGTCAGACGGTGCCATTTGCCCAGTCGAGTCTCTCCACTCATTTCTTATTTCATTTAGATTGAGATCCAAAGGCTTCTTGTGGCTGAGACCATCCACCACCTGATTCCCGGCTCGTCCTGGACCTCATTTCCAACTACGCCCTTGCCACTTAAGCCTGGGGCCCCTCCGCTAACACATCCCCCTGTCCGGAGAGAGCATGGACGGAGCTCTGTGTGTAGCTTAGGCTCTGCTCAAATCTGCCCTGAGCAGACAGGCTTTCTGGACCACCTTCTAGAAGATAGCACCTCTCTCCGCCTCAGGTCAGTTTCTTTCCTTACTCCCGGCTTTAGTGCCCTGGGTGGTCCTTCTCACGGCAGGCACATTCCACTCCCATCATTTGTTTTCCGCCTGCCCCTTGTGGAGTGCAAGTACGGGCACAGAGTAGGTGCTCGATAAAATATTTGCTGAAAGAAAGAAAAAATAGATGGGGCGCCCAGGTGGCTCAGACGGGTAAGCGTCTGACTTTGGCTCAGGTCGTAATCTTACGGTTCGTGGGCTCGAGCCCCGCGTTGGGCTCTGTGCTGATGGCTCGGGAGCCTGGAGCCTGCTTCGGATTCTGTGTCTCCCTCCCTCTCTCTCTGCCCCTCCCCTGCTCGCACTCTGTCTCTCAAAATAAATAAACATTAAAAATTAAAAAAAAAAAAAAAGAAAGAAAGAAAAAATAGAATAAAGAATAAACGAATCGCTATGACAAAATTGCTATAGAGACTTTGTTTTCTAAAAGGAAACTACGTGTTGTGTAATTGGAAGAACTGACGAAGTTACTGGCTGAAGAATTCACGTGAACGATGAGGGAGAAAAGTCAGGAACAGTTTCTCCTCGTTCATAAGAGATTACTGGAATCGCGAAAAGACTTCCACTGTTTTTACACGTTTGAGTTCTAATCTCTACTTATTTAAAATTACGAGGTGAAGAAAATTTCACGTTGTGCGAGGGGGACGTTTTCTCCGTATTCAAAGGGCCAGAGCTGGTTGTTTTCCACCTGCTTGTTAACTGGAGTGGAGGAAAGGGCTTTGGGATCTTTGAAATCTGTTCCTGACCCACAGTAAGCATTCAGGTTTCTACTACTGTGCTACCAATCAGCAAGGTTTATGCGTGGTCAGGTTTTTCAGACCTTAGTTTACATGGTTTTAGGAACTTTAATGTCAGAGAACTGCAAAGAGCGTGACAGATGTTGGCTCTGGAATCTTGGTGCCTGGACAGGGGCAGAGGGGGGTTGACCAGGAGTCTTGGCCGTGAGGGTCCCAGACTCACACTCACTTGCAAAGGCCAAGTCAGAAACCCAAGGGTCAGTTGGTCAATGCGTGGAGTTATCGCTTGCATGAGACAGCTTTGCTTTATTTCCTCATTTTAAATAAACCTCCAATTCACTCCTTAAATTGTCATTTTTATTCTTTTTCTTTTTAAAAAAAATGTTTAGTGCTTATTTATTTTTGAGAGAGAGAGAGAGAGACAGAGAGAGAGAGAGACAGAGCATGATCGGGGGAGGGGCAGAGAGAGAGGGAGTCACAGAATCCGAAGCAGGCTCCGGGCTTCGAGCTGTCAGCATAGAGCCCGACACTGGGCTCAAACTCTTCAACTGTGAGATCATGACCTGAGCTGAAGTCAGACACTCAACCAACTGAGCCACCAGGCGCCCCATCATTTTTATTCTTTTTCTTAAAGACACTTCCACACCTGTCCCCCACCATGGTATAATCTTCAATGTCTGGCAAAAACGACTGTCTGGAAAGCCTTTCTGCCCACAGACGAGGGGAAAAGAGGGGAGGGAGGAGAGAAGAGAGAGGAGAGGGAAAGGGCAGAGAGAAGTGGGCATAAGTTTGCAACTTATGCACCGTCACCAGAGTGGGGTCTAGCACGTTCTTAGGTAAGGAAGGGCATAACATAAAGACTGTATTGGGGGGGGAGGGGCAGAGGGAGGAAGAGAGAATCTTAAGCTGTCTCCACGCTCAGCACAGAGCCCGACACCAGGCTTGATCCCATGACCCTGGGATCATGACTGGAGCCGAAATTGAGAGTCGGACCGTCAATGGACTGAGCCATCCAGGTGCCCCAAGACTGTAATTTTTAAATGTTATTAATCTAGCAAAAATGTGTCCAGCTGGATGAGGCTGGAGGAAAGTTCAGAGAGAAGAGCACAGAGCATTTAGGCTTGGGCAGGGTCAGAAGGACCGGCTGGGCAGGGAGGTCCGAGCTACAGGTCCCTTGGAGCTGAGGGACCTCAGTAAGTCAGCACCAGCCGAGGTGAGTGGACACAGGACAAGTCTGGGGCTGTGCACATAGACCTTCAAGGGACAGCCACATGCCCAAGGCCTAAACAGAGTGGCAATGATTTGAAGCAGAGCATTTATTAGGACTGAGAAGACCGTGTGTGGGAGAGACTCCAGCATCCCTCAGCAGGGAGGGTCTCTTGCAGGAGAGCGATGCCACCCCCCACGCAATGGGCAGCAGAAGGTGAGGCCCAGTGACGGTGGACACAAGCAGGCAGGTGTGGGCTGGGAGACAGGGCGGAGGGACAAAGGGGGGCTGAGGGCACCCATGCCACTGAAAGGTCGTACAGAACAAGTAAGGAATGAGCCACAGTGTGTTCCTTTAAGATGAATGCTAAGCACGTCATTTCGTTCTTAGTTACCTGAACTGGAGATAATTTTAGAGTGTATTTTGGAAACACAGGAGACAGGATCCAGGTTTCAGTAACGCAGGAGAGAAAAACAAACTATAGCCGTTTGACTGATTTAATACCGAGAGTGCTATGCAAGGCAGAAAAAATGTGAAAATACATTTTCAACTCATTACTCATGCTGGCTGGGATTCATTCCGCAACTCTATAGGAAAATTCCTCTTCTAGAAAAGCTATGCGCAAAGGGAATGTGCTTGCTTTTTCCTCTTTGGCATTAAGGAAAGGTACAAACGGTGAGAGACGTGGCTGGCATAGTCCTGCTACTTCTCGAGTTCTCGTTCCTAAAATTTAGGAGTTACGGCTGGACTGTGCTTACAGATACACATAGATGGTGTGTAATTAAATTTGGATGGGATCACTTAGCCCAAGTCGGCATCTAGTTTGTATTACAAGGAACAATGTCTTTTACGCCTCTGATTTTTCTAAAATCTTAGAGGAAGAAATACAAATAAGGGTTTAGCACTCCCAAATTGCCCTGCGTTCTGCTATAACAAGTTTCTAGGAAGTGAATTAAACTCTAAAAAAAAAAAAAAAAAAAATACACGATAGCACAACCCAAACATATGGCTTATTGCCTCAGAGAAAGACAAATGTCAAGTGTAAGGATTCCCACAGACAGTGTCTGATCCTAACCTCAAATAAGCAGACAGACCTCATGTGCAGGCTTGCGTAACGAGACATGAGATATATGCAGACTGGGGTCTTCCCTACAGGGGGTGCGTCTGCTCACACTGAGGGGTGCACGCTCAGTCTCTATAGCTTTTGTACAGCACAGGTGTAACGGACCCTAAGCCATGTGAATCTGACTTTATCGCCCCTTTGCTCATATTTGCAGAAAGGTGTCAAGGGAGGGCTGCAGGGTCTAAAAGGATCAGGGCACTGGAGACGGAAAACCGGATTCCCATGCGATTACTCTTGGGACGCACCTGCGTCCCACGATCCAGTTGTATTTCCATAGGAACTTGATTGCTTAGGAAAACAGAAAACAAAAAATAGAGCACTGTAGCAGTTGCAAAGGCTGCGTGGGTTGAGAAAACATAATTTCCCGACGCTACTGATCTTAAAAGGCTAACTCCGGCCCCCAGTGCACCTTCCTACTCTTTAACAACCCTTATGAAATCGCCGTTCTTGGGTAGATCAAAATCCCCCCTTGAACTTATGTTTTAAGCATTCTTCTGTGCCAGCAAGTGCCACAGACACTGACCCTCCAGGCTAAGTAGGTTGGAACGGCAATGCTTCCTCGTCCCCCGCTCAGAACTCCTGCCACCCTCTCCCCTGCTAAGTGCAAGGAGGGGGTTGCACTAGAAAACACCAACTGAGTCAGGAAATAGAGTGATATCTTCAACAACATATGTGCTGAGCCGGGGAAGAATAGTAAAGCTAAAAAATGCCTGTGGGTATAAATAGGGCTTTTAGAACCCAGAAATGCACAGAAAATTATGTCGTGCCAATTTTCCTTTAAATTTAACTAGCTGGATCCTTTTGTGCCCATCTATCCATTCTGTCCCTGCCATAATGGGAAACAAATCACGCCAATCCCTTCCCTTTCCGTGTGCTTGGGTAGCTCGCCTCTCCTATAATTAGCTGAATATGCAACATCTAAACAACACGCTGGCCTGGCCCGGAGACCCATTCCTCATGTGTAATTTCATAGGTCATGTGGTTATTTATATTGCTGTTATTTTTACATTTCCCAAGTGCCAGGTGGTAATGTAAATCCAGGAGTCATGGAATGCATCTCTGTGGGCCCTGGCGGGGGAGCGCTTTGGTTTAGGGAAATGGGTCCCCCTCACTTTCCAAGGCGAGGAGGATAATATTCTGCTCTTTTATCAGGAACATGCAGTATTTGTGACACCCGTGGGGCATCGCGTGATGGAACACAGAGGAGTCCCATGCCCTTCTACTGGCACACGCATCCTTTCTTACGTCAACATCCATCCCTGGATCTGATAGAACCTCGGAGGGCATTTATTTAATTTTTGTGAGAACTGTATGGAGTCTATTTTGTCCTCCCGGTATTTGGTCGCCTTTATATGTAGCTAGTAATAGAGCCCTTCTTGGATCTTTAATAGATAATCTGCTTTAAGGATAACTACTTTGGGGGCGCCTGGGTGGCTCAGTAGGTTAAGCGTCCAACTCTTGATCTGGGCTCAGGTCATGATCTCACGGTTTGTGGGATGGAGCCCTGCGTCGGGCTCTGTGCTGACAGCACGGAGTCTTCTTGGGATTCTCTGTCTCTCTCTTTCTCTGCCCGTTCCCCACTTGCTCTCTATCTCTCTCTCAAAATAAATAAACACATTAAAAAGAAGTTCATATACATAAAAAAAAGGATAACAGCTTTGGTCCTTAAGAATAATATAATCTATGTTCCTCCATTTCAGGGACATTGGCTCACATTCCAGTCCTACCCTGATGTTCCGAGCCCTCCAGCCAGCCCCGATCTCCATCACATAGACTTGAGCATGACTAGAGGTTTACTGATCCACATGCCTGTCATTCCGGACAGGAGAGCTCTCTACTTTCGGACATTAATTTCAACCGTGTGACTGCGGCAGGTGAGAGAGAACCAGTAAAATCAGCAAGAGTTAAAAAAAAAAAAATCGCAGTGATGTATGCTGAGTCTTTTCAAGCTCCTTGTTCAGGAGTAATCACAAAATTTGCCCACCTCAACTATTTAAGCCCAAAGGGCACGGGCCAACACCAACCGAATAAGCACAAACCATTTACCTCAAGCCCGTTGTGTCAACATCTAACCGAGAAGAAACTGGACAGGCCTGGGGCCAGGACACCCAAGGCGGGATGGGGCGGGTGCTGGGCTTGGGGACCCCACAGGCCCTGAATGACAGTCACTTCCAACTGGTACAGAGATATTTCAATATTTTAACAACAGCAAGGTGGCACCGTGCTCGTCTCTTGAGGAACAGCCCCACCTGCCCACATTGGCTGGTTGGCATTGCTAATTCCTTAGGCCTCTAAACTCATGTGCGCCTGTGCTTGCATTTCCCTTGAGCCGCCGCAGTGACATGTCACAGTATAGATGTCAGTTACTCAGAGGGAGGACACTGGGACCCTGTAGGGCAAGGCTGCCCCTGTGTCTCAAATGGGTTCTCCTTTCTTCCAGGAGAGAAGGAAGAAACCACCAAATGGCCGGTTGGCAGGTGTGATCCCCTTTCCGCATGCCCCGCAACTAAGCATTTCTCATGAATCCTTGCTAAAGTTATATGTTTACATTTACACGAATATAGAGAAAGCAGAGAGAGAGAGACACCTATTCTACCCACGCGGCCTCGTGTAGGTACTCCCAAACCTAACTTGACCATGTCACCATGCCCTTGTATAAAACCCTATGACCATAGTGCACGACGGAGCACAGACTGGCCCCTAGCATGAAGGCCGGGGTCCACCTGTCCTGGAGCTCCCTCTCCTCATGTTTGGTCTAACACCTCCCCCCCCCACTCCCGTCCCTCCATATAAACCCCACCTTCTAGACCAGTGCTCCAAAAGACATATTTATAGGTTGGGAAATCAACTTAATGGGTCATGGTAAGCCCCTAAAGATGAAGAAGAATGGAATGAACTGAATAAAAATGCTGCACTGCACACGCATGGAGGGGAAGTGGCGTTCTGTGACACCCAAATGGTGTTTTCACACAAGCCGTTTCCCACCGCCTGGATCCATTGGATTTTTCATGTTTCCCTGCTGTCTGCTGCTTCTGAACAGTCCCCACATATGACCTGAAAAATCCATACAACTTAGTACAATGCCTGACACAAAACAGATCCTCAATGCATTTTTTAAATAAATGAACAAAACTTGGGGCAAACTGCCCGGTGTTAGTGTCTAATTTTTTTTTTTTTTTTTTTTTTTTTTTTTTTTAGTGCCTGAAAAGAACTGCATGTTTTGGGGCCATGTCATAGAATTATTTTGTTACCTGAATTTAAAAAAAAAAAAAAAAAAAAAAGGACATTTCTCCTAAAATCATTACAAAGGGTTCCCAGGACGGATTCAATCCTCACAGCAATGAAAATGCTCTCTGACTAGCAGCTGGACCACATCGCTGGGTTTTCTAACGACCATCAGATTAAAAAGACATTTTTATGATCCCTCATCACCATACCTAAGCCCAGCGCCTCTTGTGTTGTGCTGCTCTTTAGTCTCTGTAAATTAGGCACGATTTCAAGGATCGGTAAACGAACGGAGACCCCTGCACATCACAACTGCACCAGTGAAATTAATGCTAACAATTAGAGTTTTACTGTCTTGTATGACACATAAGTGATTCAATCAGCCTCTAGTTGGGCTAAGGTTTATGTGGACACGAGGGGTGGCCCGAAGGCGCTCGAACAGCATGGTAACACCGGAAGGCGAGCCAATGTCTGGGAAATGGAGCACGTAGACTATTTTTTTCCTTAAGGATTGCAGCCGTTATTTTGAAAGCAATTTATCCATTAAAAAATCTGAGAAGGACTCCATCACCGGATATATGTAAAGGTACCAAAATACCGAGAGACGAAGCAGAGTCAATGCAATTCTCATGAATATAAAATACATTAAAAAATACTCTTTTGCTGCACAGTGTCTTGGGGCTGGGCGCTGGCTGGGTACCTAAGAAAGGACGTGGGAGGGGGCCCCCCCATATCACAGCAGTTGTTTGCACATTGCTGCGTCCCCTCCATTCTGCTGCGAAAACCAGCCTGCCTCCGTCCAACCAGTGATCTCACCTGAGAACAAGATCAAGTAAACGTAGCTCCAGCGAATGGATCTGGCGTGACGTCAGAAGGTAATTTAAAAGCTGGGAGCTCAGGTTCACTTTCTGGTAACATGGAGATGCCTTTTTGGGGATCCTAGTTTTCCCCCGAGGCTTTGTCTCCATCTTCTCTCTCAGACTTACTTCTTCCTGGATTGTCCATCTTTCCACATCAGAGAATAGTAAGACCAAAATCCAAAACAGGCACATTTGCCTGGGAAATTCCCTCACGTACCCACTGTGTACACGTCAGTTCTCTGATTCTTTAAAAGGAAACTTTCCTTGGCAAAATTAGGTTTGGTGATGAGCTAGACTTTTGGGTGTGAGGAAGCTGTTTTGTAGGTTTCTCAGCAATTCCGGGGAATGCACCAATTCTCAGGCATCATGGTACAGGGCGGGTTTCACTGTAAAGCTGTGTAATGTCAGATGCAGCTCATGCCTGCCATTGTCTGGGCCCTGCATCCTGGAGGACCTAGTCACCTGAGTGCAGACCAAAAGAAACGAGATTGTTGTTTGCTGTCTTATTACAATTACCATGTGTGACTGCAATAGGCCAGTGATTTGCAAATGTACAGAGGACGGGTATGAACGTTACAGATTTCAAGGAGAAACCAGAAAAAAGATGGAAGTAAAGCCAGAGCAGAAAGCACCCCGTGAAGCTTCGCACACAGCAGATGCCAGGTGACCGTTGTGGACCCATGGAACTGAGCGCTGGATAAAGTGATATTGGATAGAGCCGGCTTTCAGGTAGTGTGAGATTTTCTAGGCTAATCTGAGGATTAATCATAAAAATGATTCAAGTCGGCATAAAGGACCTGAACGCTGGTAGGCAATTAAGAAATAGGTTTTCCTCTGCCAACACTCTTAAGGAGAGACAGACCATGGCACCGATCCAGCCCGTCTTTAGGAAAACATTCCATGCACCGCGTCGCTTCTAAGCATTTCTTCACAGAAGGAAGAAAACCCCAGGATGTTGTATTATGTGGCAATAATGAGATGCAGATTGTCAGGAAGGTCTTTATTAACTTGCTTAAGGAGAGCTGCTGAGAGCCTCCGAAGATAAAGCCCTGGGCTTCTCTTTGGAGCCCCCAGTGGGAGTTTAATTCACAATCCAGTAGAGAGACCCACAATTCACAATAGCTGCTTGCTTTAACGGGTTGATAGCATGAAAAATATTTACTGGTTATGAAAGATAATCCACTTCTGAAAAGACGACCCCCTTTTTTTTTTTCTTCAGAATTCCAGGTACAATAGATTCTTCTCCCGCTGACAGTGCATCACAGAACATCCCAGTGGTGATGGCTGCTCAGCTGCCTTTGGCTCATTGCAGAAGTGACGAGCTATTCATGCAAGATACATGTCTCTGGGAAGACTGGTGGCTACAGACCCACAGCCAATATGTTCAGGTAATTTCCCATGATTCCCACTACTCAAAGGTAACTTCTTGATTGGGTTGATCTACATATTTAATTGCCACACCTCTCTTCTTGGTTTTGCTACCGGGTTTCAAAGGATAACGAAACACCACGGTCTAGTGAGCATACCATGGCTGTGAGACCTGTGAGCTTAATATTTCCCCAACAAATCCTTACTGAGGGGCCCTGAATGGAGGCCTGACGCTAGATTTTTGTCCAGACCTATTTCTAACTTCCGGCCATTACCTTCACCTGTTTCTAGGTTGCCATGATTGAGAAACTACTGAATTGCCGCTGCTTGTTTTCATTTCTTTTGTCTAGAACGGCACCAAGAGGCGAGTGATGGAGGCTTTTCTGGGTGCCTTTGTCCTATCCCAATCATGGGGGCAGCTGAAAAAAAATCACCGGAAAGGAAAAGTATTCCCATCTCTTTTCCTGGTCATGAGTTCCTATGTAACTTTCAAAAGTAATTATCCTCTCGGACGGGGACTCTGCATCTTTTCAAAATCTCAATTGGTTTTCGAGGCTGACAATGGCCTCACAGAACAGAAATAGAAATCTCTCCCTGGTTTTGGAGAAAGGAGCCTTGTTTGATTCCTGACTCTGGGGCCCGTTAGTTCCTGTGATTATGGGAGAATCACTTAATCCCTCCAGGTCTCGGATTGCTCATTAGCAGAGGGGAATGCTGACACCTGCTTCACTGGCCTCACACAGGGCTGAGGATCTGGGGACAGAAGAGACTGTGCGTGCTCGGGGCAACAGGAAAGAACCGTCCACAAACACTGGCTATTAATATTATTAGCAGAATACCATTAACAGATGTTCCACAGCATTTCTGAGTATTTCCAGTTACACGAGGTCACATGCCCATACCTAGAACTGCTATTATCCGTCTGGTTCGTTTCCCTCCCCTGGCTCTTTGCACTCTTGTGGGGAAGATCCTAAGCGTTCCTGCTGAACTGCCACGTGACCAAGAGAGAGGATGGAGACCGTTCAGGACCTTGTCACGGAACTTCCAGGTGGGAAGGTCATCCTGCCTTCATCCCACGCAAGGCGACTAGTGCTTGCTGTTTCATCTCTGTACATTCTTTGCCCTTCACGACTACGCTCTGATGGGACCATGTACCCCAGGCTCACGTGTCTCTGCACACAGCGGGTCCCCTGGCTGTCACGCCTACTCCCCCACTTGTGCACCTGGATGGCCCCATCCTCTCCGGGTTGGGTACCACTCTCCCTGTTCGCAGGGCAGCCCTGGGGTGAGGTTCTTGCAGCCTCTCCGGCAGCCACTCACCAAGCACACCGTGTGAAGTGTCGTGAGAATCTGAGGAGGTCCAGGACCTCTCTCCACCAACAAGGTGCGAGCACAACCCTGGGGCTCACGGGCCACTGGGAGCTCAGTTATGGACCCACCGATGGTTTATGACCTTCAGGCTAAAGCCTCTCTCTTCTCCTAGACTTTGACTCACTGAATTGGATGGGCCTGGCTGCCTCCGACAGTTGGTGAGAGGGCAGGGGCCGGATTTCTCCATTTCTTGACTCCCCGTAGCAAGCCCTGTACTTGCATTAAGTAAATGGGTTAGGGAATTAGCTCTACAAGTTAATGCAAGTCCCTTACGGGCCCCCGGTTGCACAATTTCCTTGTGTGAATTCTCGGGCATTTATAAAGAGAAGGTGATCTAAATGGTGGGAAGAATGTCACAGCCATTCACAACACACATTAGACTTTTTAAAGAGTGTCCAACTGATACAGAGGACAGACAGCCCTGTGCTCGTCACACAGGTGGGTTGGCTGCTGACCAATTTATTAACACCGAAAGCTCATTTTTAAGCGGAGGTGAACCAAGTATTATCTGGGAAATTAGAAACACTACAAACACGTCCCAAACACAGAGGCCGCCTGTTCCTGCAGAAGGGCCAAGAACTTGGTGAAAAACCTCCTTTTCTCCCAGAGAGGAATCTTCTTATGTCAAAGCTCAGCTCCCCGGCACTGGGAGAAACCTAGATGGCTCTTCCTCGCCTAATATCCACTTGCTTCTCGGGGATGCTAAGCTCATCTTTCCAAAGGACTTACTCATTTGGAAAATCAGGGACATTTAGTGTTAACTCCAGATGGTTCCAGAACGCGGAGGAATGCCTTGTTTCACGGGAAGGAGGCTCTTACGTGATGCAGGAAGGCAGACAGCAACGCAGCAGTAAACTATGTGCCTGTCTGTCCACGCCCTTCATGGCTGTCAGGATGCCTCAGGCCACTCCCCTGCCCCCAGGAAGTCACCACGGAGAGAAAGCGTGCAGGGAGGGAGGAAGGCGAATGGCCCTGCACTGGACTGTGCTAGAAGTGTCTGCGTAGAGGCAGGAAGCCTAGGGGAGGCCAAGCCCTGCATCCCGTCACGGGAGGCAGAGACATGCATAAGGCGCACCCATTTCTTGTGCTGTGATCTCACCAGAACGCGTCAGAGATGAAATGAAGAAAGTGTCCCCAAATGGCAGCTCACAGACACCGTCCTTGAGCAAGTCACAGATCTCTGCCAGGAAGTGCACGACATTTCTGTGATTTCAAAGCATTCTTCTTGTTACTAAACAATGACTGAGTAGCTGTCCCTAACGTGGCATAGAAGTATCGAAACCTCATAAAATATTGATTTCAGAAGCACCTGTAGCTTGTCTTTTGGAACGTTGGTCTTTCACCCTTAGTCTGGGTATAACATTTAGAGATCCACACCTGTGTGTGTGTGTGTGTGTGTGTGTGTGTGTGTGTGGTAGTAGAAGGGGCTCCCTGAGCCA